TTCATTTTTTATATTTTACACTCAAAGAAAAAGAAAAATGAGGTTTTGAAGAGTTTCTTATAATGAGGTTTTTACGCCCGCGCAATTTCAATACATCGTGCATCGTACCTGTACGTTTACCACTGCTTCTCTAAAAATGTACAACATAGTCCATATCCATTGCAAAATTAAGAACTACGTATAGTATATTTTTATAGGCATCGACGAATATGTGATTTTGTTTACGCAAAACGCATGCACTTTGTAGAATGGAATCGTTCAACTCTAATGCAACGACTGATCACGTTCCAAATTCTTTGGCAATTAGAAAACTTTTTAAAACCTAATCATTCTCCTTCTTCGAGTATAAAATATAAAGACGACGTGATCCTCTACCGAATGGGTAGAAGAAGCATACTTTTGTGCATAATTTCTGCAAAGTATATTTGAATTTACAATACCATCGAAAATCAATGAGGAAGACGCATACTACTTTAGTAGTCCTTCTGTGTCGAGTAAGGTCCCTACGAAATTTGAAAAGCAATGTATTCAGAAGCCAGTCATTAATCGTCGTGATTTCGTCCCCGTTGTTGGTGTTGATTACTCGGCCATTTGGCTCGCCGTCACTGGACCTGTCAGCCGCTCGCGCCCTCTCCGCTTGGCTAATTACTCCGCCTACACCAAGTTTCAGCACTGAATAAGGAGGCGTGAGGTCATTGAACTCTCTAATTGGCCGCTGGCCGGTGAACCATGACTTGAGCAGCCCGAGGCTGATGCAGTTCTAGTCTCTAATGAGCATTTTACCTTCATAAGGTTTGAAGGTGTGGTTAGCTTTCGTCAAGGGAGCAACAACTCGGGAGCTGGCGTCATTCCTCAGCACTGATGCCGCCGCGTGTCCAGCCAGTGACCTCTGGAGTTATCTCCCTGTTTCCTAGATTAAGTTGCTTTGTTCACAACCGCAGGACCCCAGACGCTTCCTGTCATGACAGTGGATCCTTCGGCCTCATGAAGTGACGCCTGATGATGACCTCCGGTTCGTGTGCAACCCAATCTCCAAGTGATGAGAGAAGGCGGTTGACGGCTTCCAAGACTTTATCAACGTAGGGGAGCGTCCGTCAAAATTTGTGGTCGGTTGGTTTGGGGTTCTCGTTTCGTTTACGCATGTACCGGCCAAGTAAGTTGTGTCGGTAATCATTCGCTGTAAACAACCGCCAAAGTTGTTGCGATTCAGAGACCTTGTCTTTCGCTTCCCTTTAATTAAAGATCCTAACCTCAACGACATAATGATGTTCTCGCTGGACGATTCATCACTTTTTACAAACGTTCCCGTTACCGAGACATTTGAATACATCTGTGAGTTTCTACCAAACAATCAGCAGGAAATAGGAATTCCGAGGAAGACACTCAAGGAACTGCTTCTAAGCTGCACATTAAATGTACAGTTCCTGTTTGACAACCAACTCTATAGACAAATAGACGGCGTTGCTATGGGCTCGCCTCTTGGACCACTCCTAGTCGATGTCTTCATGGGCAAATTGCAAAGATACCAGGTAAGCGATCAGATCAAAAAACTTAAACATAACGGCCGTCATGTTGATGATATCTTTGCAAGTGCCACAGCAGAAACCGAAAAAGATGCCCTCTTAAGCGATGCAATTCAGGCACATCAAATTTATTTTGGAGATCAAAACTGTCAGTTCGTTCCCTTTGTTAGATGTTTTTCTAAGCAGGAGACCTGACGGGAGTATCGCAAGACGCGTTCACCGGAAGAAAACCTGGTCTGGACAGTACACAAACTTCGCTAGTTTCATACGCCCACTACAAAAACGAAATCTAGTCCGACGTTTTGCACAAAGAACTAGAAAAATTTGCTCAACAGATAGCATCACAGAGGAGCTTAGAAAGTTCCAGGACTTCGTTTGTGAAAACGGGTACCCGGACAGAATAATGGCAAAGAATATGGCCGAACGACCGACAAAACCCGCCAAACCGACTGCCAAAAAGAAAACTCTGTTCCTTAAAATCCCTTTTCAAGGGGACGCTGCGAGTAAACTCCTAAATAGACGCCTTGCTCAAGCTGTTTCGCGAACCTTTCGAGCGGCAAGGATTCAAGTATCCTTCTCTACAAACCCTATTTTACGCGGAGAAGGTAAGGATAAGTTGCCACCCCAGACCACTTCAATGTGCATCTATTCCTTTACTTGCGCCTGTGGGGTAGGTTTTTTTGGTCTCACAAGTCGGCGCTTATCCAAGAGAAAGGGCGAACACCTCTCGAAGTGGCTGGGAAAAGGCGAAACTAGGAGCATAAGCAGCGCCATTCTCGCGTATGTTGTCGATTCCGGACATCATGTGTGATCTATAAGGTCCCATCGAGCTATCCTAAACCCCTAGGACAGCGCCTGTTAGCAACAGCAGGGGCCGCCGCCATCAGGTTACGAAAACAGATCTTGTGCGCACAGAAGAACCACGTTATGGCTCCGTGCCTACAGTGGTCGAAGGTCGACTAACGCTACAACTCTCCCGCGCCCTTCCGCTCTCACTCCGCCCCTCACACTTACTGCTTTACTCCCCCCCCCTACATTCCCACACCCAGTCTGTGTTTTAAGGCGAACTTTAATCGATTTATCTTATCACTGATGTGTTTTTACTTCTACCCCCATTCCATATAATTGTACTGGCCAGACGAGAATTTATCGAAAGCTACGTATGCTCGCCACCTCGTCTTCTGATCATTTTAATGTGTCAAAACAAGGTAGGCCCGCAAAACCTCCTGGTGAAGCCCTCATCTACTTTTTCCATGAGACCTTAAAATCATAGCTTCACTAATGTTTATTTAAAATGTGCATACATTTTTGGGATTGGCTCCCCTCGTGGCCGGCCAAACTGCTGCAAAATACAGGTTTCAAAAAAACCTATAGCACGCGCAGGACGTCCAAAGTGTTTCCAAAGTTGACGTAGGCAAACAGGGCAGGATTTTATGGTACCAAATCAGAACATTCAGTTTCGAAAAGCTAGTCTTTGTCCTTTACGGGCGAATTTATTTTAAATACTTTCAAACGACGGCTGGACTCCTCCATTGAAAGGGCATACAATGAGCCGAACTCGTATAATGCAGTCCTACTAAGCCTTTTCCGATCCCACTGGCAAAGGATGCCCTGCCAATGCACGCCACTTCAAAGTGTGTTTATGAATTCATACGCACTTGCGGATGCGAGTACAATAGGCGAAGGCAGAGACAGTTGGCAGCCAGGTCTATTGAGCACCTCCCCAGATGGCTCCTAAGGCAACTAAATGTAATCCCGCCTTCCTCCATTACGAAACACCTGCTTGTTAATGGTCTCTATGTCGACATCAAAACTTCCTTCCAAGTATTTGTTCGGGCACAAACAACTCGGGCATTGCGTTACCTAGAGGCGGCCTATATACGGCGGGTGGAACTAGATCTTTGTAAGCAGTTGGAACACGTGGTTAGCCTTCATGATTGCCTCTTCCCCTCTCCCTTTTTGCTCGTTAACTTCTCTCTTGGTTTTTTTTGCGCTGTTCTTCCCATATAATGCTTGAGTTACTAACTTTATCGATTACCCAGCTTTACCCAAATCCATGAGATTGTCGTTTCGGCATTGATTGTCTGCACGAATTCAAATCCGTTGTAGTCTCCCCACACGTTATCCATGTTATGAAACGACAGGACGCAGCTGACGAGCTTTCGCGAAATTTTTTGGTACCATTAAATCCTGCCCTGCTTGCCTACTTCAGCTTCGTGCCCAGGACAAAATATTTCCAAAGTGTTATCGAAGGGCTCCATAGCCTTTGCATGACAGCGTCTGCTATGCTCTTGAGTCTGGTGTGTGCTGCTGATTCTTAGGCACACGGTTCCTCCTGGTAGACGCGCTTGCTCTTCCGCTGGATATAAAGATCCTGTGCACGCTGACAAGTCATCCTCGGTGTCTTTCTGGCCCATTGTTGTGCTGCCATCGACAAAAAAACCTGTTCGGGTGTTTTGAAGAAGAAGACACGAGCGCCGGGACAAGAGCTTTATTAGCCTGACGTTTCGGATTCCTGCTCGAATCCATCATCAGAGACAAGCAGAGAAGGGTGGCTCATGCACATGCGGCTGCAGTATTTATAGGATGCAGTAGCCATGCTACCGCATACCTATGAATATTCACGACTCCCTCCCCTTCATCAGGGATCGTTGCCCGTGGCGTGATGGCCGACATTCGCGTCGTTAATTGCTGCAATTTCATCACGTGCGTTGGATGTTGGTGTGATGATTGCTCGACCATCTGACGCGCTGACCCTCGTGTTGGGAAGAGTGTTCACCTGTGCGCTCCGCGCGTGACCAATTACTCCGCCTAGGCGAAGTCTCAGCACCGAGTATGGAATGGGAAGATGTTTACACTTGTTAATAGACTGGGGGCCAGTAAACCATGACTCAAGCGGCTCCCGGCTCACGCGGTTGTCACCATTTGCGAGAATTTCGGCCTCGTCAAATTTGAATGTGTGGCCGGATCTCGTCGAATGAGTGGCAACTTGAGAGCTGGCGTCATTTCTCCGCACTGTTGCAGCGTGTTCGGCCATTCGCGTTCGGAGCTGCCTTGCGGTTTCTCAGACGTAGTTAGTTTGTCCGCAACTGCACCAGATCCAATAAACGACTCCAGACGTTTCTAGCCGTGGCAGTGGGTCTTTTGGTTTCATCAACTGACGCCTGATGGTTGCCTCCGGCCTGTGTGCAACTCCAACCCCGAGTGGTGCGAGAAGGCGGCCAACAGCTTCCGAAACGTTCTTGACATATGGAAGCGCACGCCAAACTTTGGTTTCCCTGCGGTTAGGCCTTTCGTCCATTTTGCGTATGCACCGGTTGACAAAGTTGCGCGGGTAGCCATTGGCTTTGAAGACCCGTCGGAGGTATTGTAGGTCGGCAATCTTGTCTTCCGGCCCACTGCAGTGCGTTTCGACACGCCGATAGAGCGTACTTACACAACTACGTTTATGACTGATTGGGTGGTTGCTGTAGAATTTCAGTAGTTGCATCGTATTTCAGCTTTCCTGAACATTTTGGTCTTTAGTCCACCACAATCTTTGCGGCATACGAGGACATCCAGGAAGGCCAGCTGGTTGTTCTCTTCCTCCTCCATCGTAAATTGTATGTCCGGGAAGACCGCATTCAGACGTTCCTTGAATGTCGGCAGTTGATCCCGATCGATAACGACGAAGGTGTCATCCACATACCGGGCCCAGAACTTCGGTTTGTGGTGTTGGAAGACCAGCGACTCTAACCGTTGCAGGACCGCCTCGGCGATGAACCCCGAAATCGGCGAACCCATTGGTGTGTCCTTCACCTGTTCGTAGATTGTCCCGTCGAACGTGAAGTAGGTCCTGAGACAGAAATTCAGGAGCTAAAGGACTTTGGCGCGTTCAAGACGATTCTCCGACCAGACCAGATTGTGTGGCGACACGCCTAGATGAGGGTTCAGCTGTGCCAGCCACCTGCGCCCTCTCCCGCCTCCGGTCTTCTTGACTATGTCTTGACACCCGGTTCACGCGGGGGAGGGAGTGCGGTAGATGCTGTGCAAGTCTACCATCACTATAAGCCAAACAACGCGCAGGTCATTGTGCCTGCTTTATTTAGCCCTGGAACGAAAGGTAAACAACGTCCGACAGACAGTCGAACTGTGACTTGACAATCTGCTTAGAGTAAATGAATTTTACTGAAGATTGGGTTGCCAAAAGGACGTCTTTTAAAGTATCGTCTTGGCAATGCAACATACGCCGTTTCAGTGGTAATCGCTCGTGGTGTTTCTTTATTTTGAATGCCCTGTCAAAACACGGGACTGATAAAAACATTTTGGGGATGGTGTTTGCTTTAGACTTTGCATCAATTACAATAATTGAAAGGACCAGCTGTTGCATTTCGTTTTGCGCCAAGTGTAACTCCGCTGATCCGAAATCAACAGCGAATGGGGTCGAACGTTGATTCGCCGCTGAAGTCCGAATAAAAACCATAGATCGTTGCTAGTGACCAGTGAAATTGTTCAGTCTCTCTTAATCCTTTAAATTTTAATATTTTCAAGTGTTTCCACATACACTTTCCGTCACACGAAAGTACGTGAGGCAAATAGGCTTGCAGAATAATTCTGATCAGGAGATGGAAACGGATTGGTAAACAAACTAAAGTTAATCATCTTCCGTCTCTGGGCAGGTATTGCGAAAAATAGGCTGCAAATCGACAGCGCTAAAAGCAGACGCAGAGGGTGAATGCACTTGCCGACATAAGCTCAACTATTATCTGGCTGACGGTGTGAATATGGTTTTTTGCGCAGCCATTATGCCAACAGCGTTTTGGGCGTAGAGCCCTGTTTTTCTGCTGCATGAATGCATTATGCACTTTGCAAAGGTTTGCCGACTGCAAAAGGGAGTTTTTGGTTAAAAAAATTCAAGAGAAATGACAGTTCTGGAAAGCGCTTTGGCTGTGCAATAGAATGTAATATTACATATCTGTGAAAAATTTGCAGTAGAATACAATAGCTAATGGAGTAGTTATTGATTTCCTAGGCTTTCAAATGTGACAACATCTCTAAAGAAACGAAAGAGGCTGAAATAATAAATATGCGATTCATTCCCGACAAATACAGTGGGCTTAACAATCAATTGCTAATTTTCGGATCTGTTCTTTTTCAAGTTTTGTAATTCATGGTTTCATATAATTCAGCCAATCCCATTGCCACTATTACGAGTGTATGTCACTTATTCTACACTATTGAGGACATTTTAAAGAAGCTACTCGCTTGCTGTCCATAGTTCCGTCATAGGTCCCTGAAAGGATCGAATCTGTGTGCAGGAGTTTCTAATAACTTCCCAAATAGACGCATTTGGTTACTTTAGAAAGAACTGAAATAAAATGCCTACAATCTAACCGTTAGGACTCGGAATACTGCACCAGGAACGCTTAAGAGCCTAAACGTCCCACAAAACCGTTTAAACAATTTTCGAATGCTTCCGTTTGACAGAAGAAGAAGAAGAAGAAGGAGAAAAGCCGTCAAAGAGTAATCAGTAGAGGAGGAAATTCAGCGATTAAAATATATCCGTGAGAGGACAAATTAGATCGGCTGAGAGATTCACAGATTTTTCTGCTTCTCAAATTCTTGTTTCTGTGCGTTAGCAGAGCATTAAGCTTTTCCAAATCTCCTGATTTCATATATTTCATTACCTTTCAACGCCGACGCTTGAAGCAAAATGAGTTAGATGGCAGGTAACAATCGGGAGAGGGCACCCAAAAAATACTGCTGGCCAAAGCAGCGATCTTATCGCAACTGTCCTGAGCTATGCAGCTATTGACTGAGCCGCACACTGGCGACTGCGGTAGCCCTAGATCTCTGGATGTATTGGTAAAAGTGGATAATCCAAGTGCTCGGTCAACGGCGATCGTATTGCAGTTGTCCGTAGGTAAGCTAATATAGAATACTCCGCATAGGGGTTATTGCGGTCGCTTGTCAGCAGTGAAAGCTTAAATTAAAGTTGTTTAACGTAGGGTGGGTCTACGGCGATCGTTTTGAAACTGTTCAAAGGGTATGGCGCCATAGATTGAGCCGCCTACCTACAACTGAAGTCATTCCTCACCTAATGAAGAAATGGTCATAATGGATAAGCCAAAGGGCCGGTCCACAGCGATCGAATCGTAAGTGTTTTAACGTATGCTACCATAGATTTAGCCGCATATCGACTACTGCGCTTGATCTTCAACTGTGGAAGATAATGTCAAGTTTGGTAAACATACGATGGGTCTAAAGCGATCATTCTCCAATTTTCCTAAGCTATGCTGGTCTAAAGTAAGTCGCAAACGAATTATTGTCGTCGCTCGTGACCTAGGCATGCGAATGTGAAGGATGGCAAACCAATGGAGAGTACACAGCAATCGTTTCCCAACTCTCAAGGGTAGATTTAGCCGCAACTCCATTACTGCTGTCAATCTTCAGCCGTGTACGCCTAGGTCAAGATTGATTAACTATGGCCCGGTCTGCAGCGGTCGCATCTCAACTGTTGGAGACTATGATGCTCTAAGTGAGGCAACATGCGCACTTCAGATCAGATAAAATTGAGGTCGGATGAAAAGACAAATATATAGGGCCATAACCTACTCAAATAGATATAGCAAATATTATTTATAGGCAACGAATATTTGGGTGCCCTCTCCCGATTGTTACCAGATGGCAAGTGTCTATAAAACCCTTTGTCACTCATAATTGCATTTACTGCTGCGACTTACAAAAAGTCATATCTGGATCGAATTTATACTATGATCTATTAGTAGAAACGAATGCTAGAGATTAGCACATTTTCTGTTTTTATCGGATCTGGTGCAGTCGCGGACAAAGCAACTACGTCGGAGAAACCGGAAGACAGCTCCGAACGCGAATGGCTGAAAACGATGCAGCAGTGCGGAGAAATGACGCCAGATCTCAGGCTGCGGCTCATTCAATGAGATCCGGCTACACATTCAAATTCGACGAGGCCGAAGTTCTTGCTAGAGGTGGCAACCGCGAGCTGCTTGAGTCATGGATCACTGGTCCACAGTCCATCAACAAGTGCAACGAAATTCCCCTTTGCATAGTCCATGCTGACTTTGCCTAGGCGGAGTAATTATCCACGCGCGGAGCGCACAGGTGAACACTGCTCCCAACACCAGGGTCAGTGGGTTAGATGGCCGAGCAATCATCGCATCAACATCCAGCACACTTGATGAAATTGCAGCGAATAACGGCGCGAATATCGACCATCAAACAATCACCGTATCAAGTGCATTGATCCCTTGTGAGGGAGGGAGCACTTTAACACGGCAACTGCATCCTATAAATACTGCAGGCGCTTGTGCTTGAACCAGCCGTGTCTGCTATTGTCTCTGATGATTAGTTCGAGCAGGAATTCGAAACGCTAGGCGAATAGAGCTCTTGTCCCAACGATCGTGTCTCCTTTTTCACGACATTTTCTGTTTGTTATGCAAAGTGGAATAACTCATTTTACTGAAATCAAAAATGCAGTTGTCCAGCTTCTGAGTAGATAGAGAGTTGATTTACAATCTTGGCGGATTTTTGATGATAAAAAAGCATGCTAGTATCAACGGTTATAAAGAAAATATACTGAGCCTTCAGAGAGTCAGAAGGCGCGCCGAGGTCTGCGCAGTGGACATAATCTTGAAAGAAAACTCGGAAGTCGGTATTTTGGATTCATCCCAGCGCACCCAAATCCCCTTCCCTTTTATTATTTCGCGGTTCGTTTAGATAAAGTTGTTTCTAGTTTTCGACTGCTTGGGCCTACTTAGCAGAGACCGATGCATCTGATTCGTTAAATTTCCCGGTCGGTTCAGAGTCTTATGTTTTGTCAAAACCTTTTAGATCACAGGATGTTTTGCATCTCAATACACGCGCTCATTGATCTTCTCTTTAATTGCTGCTAGACTTTCAAATGCATTTTTTGCAGGAAATTAATTGTCCGGTAAATTAAACAGGAGCTGTTTCGTATTATTTTTTTAAAAGATCGGAGATGTTTGGACAAAAAGATGCATAACTAGCAAATACTGCGTTGTGTACCGTAATGATAGCGCAGGCACAAAGGTAAGGCCCAGACGCATGTTTTTTTTCGAAAAAGACTGAAAACGTTTTCCAGAAGTATTCTAAGTAAACGTATTTAGGTCAGCAAAAATTTGAGTGCAGACAAATAACGCATCTCTGAATTCCAAGCGACATGCAAACCTTTAATGTCATTTTAAACAAGAACGCGGCAACATGCAGAAAATAATGCATAATGCTACTCTTCTCTGTACGTTCTCTTATATTAAATTTAAAAGCGCATTCTACTAAAATCGTTAACGATCTGGGAAGTTTTTGAAAAGCCCTTCAGTAGTATTTGTGTGAAAAACCAAAAACAAATTCGGAGAAATCAATACAGCGACCTTAAAAATTAGTTCTGCGCTATGATTTGACCGCTTGAGTTTGGAAATTTCATAATGCAATTGTGTACGTTTTATGCAGCAGAAGGTACGTAAGTGGTAGGGTGAGGCATTTTCGCTGCCCTTGATCGAGTTGGCCAGTGACTTTACCTTATGTATGGGGTTGTTCTTTTTAAATAACGACCTTAAAAGACCCAAATACATACGTGGCTGTATCCAAAAACACTAACAGTCCCGTTTACACATCCATAAATGCACACCATGGGCGACTCCATCAGGCCAAAAAGCATGCTCCGTTTTTTTCTCTGTCCATCAATCCTGCTGGATGCATTTGCGACCAATTCGATCGCGCAGGCCTTTCCAGCACAAACTGCAAACAGGACGGTCGCGGTGGAGTTTCTGGGAAGAACTCCGAAAGAACGGAAATTAGTGAAAGGGTGGAGGGGTGTGGTGGATTCCTTCGTGGGCAGATGGGAGGATGTTCGACTCGAGCCGCCCAGGTATCTGCGCAGAAACACGTGGCAAATTACGTCGCGAATTAGCGCCCTGCGAAACTCCTTCCTAATCTTCCCACATTTTTCCACCCTCTTCCCCCTCCCTCTCCCAGATGTTCATCTCTTTCCTTTCTCCCGCCTCCTACTCTTTTCCCCAATTTCTTTTATACCTGTGCGTTAACCGCCAATCAGGGCTTCTCTCACCACAGTCTCCTTCCACTACTCCGTTCACACTTTCCTTCCAGCTTGCTGGCCTACCTACCCCCAACTTTAGCGCATCTGCTTAGTCCAGCCAGCTTGCCTCCTCACACACAGTTCGACCGCAATCGAGGTAGAAAGGGGGGGGGGGCGGAGGGTAGACGTCCCTGATTCGCGGCAGTGCAGATTTATTAGGCTGCACAGAGTGGGCTGCTTGCGGGAAGCAGGTGTGTGCAGGTGTGCCCTGCCGAGGCAGTCAACGTGTTAACACGGAAAGAAGAAACGATGGGGGTGGGGGGGGGAGGGAGGACAATTAGAGGCGATTTGAATTGGAAGCCATAAACTAAACCGTCGTGCCTGAAAGCCTGTACGAAAAGAGACTTATTTAACGGGGAAAAATGACATATATGATAGAAAAATACGGAGCGTTAAAGCAATCAGCAATACTGGGTGTTCGGAATGAGAGTGCCCAGACAAAATTCAGACAGAGTACTTTTATAACCTGGCTGTTCAAGTGCGCGAGGGGCAGTGCTTTGGGGACTGGCGGTGTTCGAGATTCTGCTGCAGTAGAAAATAACGTGTTTTACATACCTTGTTCGACAGCATATGAACTTGCACCTCGGAGTGATCACTTGAAATGCTTGCAAATTTAGAAATAACAATAAAAATAACTACCCAACTGTTTTCGGTTTATGAGAACACTGACGAGACTTGTTAAGTAATTGGAGACAAAAGTTAGTCTGAACTAACTGACGGCTGTTGAATAGACAGGATGACCATGCACGCATTGCGGTACATTTGTAAAACTTGCTTCGCCCGAGAAAAGCGTAACCTTGCTGTAGAGTGATATTTCTATTGGATATACCGTAGGTGGGCTAACTCATGAGGTGTCCACTGAAATTACAAAATGCCTTTTCGCTTCGAAAATATTCATTATGTGGGGTTGTAAAACTGGGCAGCCCGCAACCTAATTCTGTAACATTTCACTTACCTCAGGATGCCGGATTTCGAATAAACTTGCTTCCGGCTGCATGCAAAAACTGCACTCTGTAAAAAAATGACTACTTATGTAGCATGAGTTTTTTTCATTGATTTTCGATGCCCCTATATGCCCAATTATATTTTATGAAAACATGCATAAAAATATCCATTATTCTTCTCATTCGGCAGAAAATTACGTTTTCATCTAACCTTATAATTGGAGGAAGGGTATAATTCGGTTTTCACAAAGTTTTCAAATTTCCAAATAACTTTCAACCCGCCTTTTCTTTACACTTGGATTCTGGGTTTACAAACTACAAGCCGTATTTTTCCACATACGGAGAACTACTTATTTCTCTACGGTAATAAGAAAGGATTATATGGGGTTCGTAAAATTTAGCAGTGAATTTGATCCATATTGTTAACTTTACAAGCAAAATTGGTAAATGCACAGACATGACGATTTATGAACGGCCATTTAAAATATTAAAAAATCTTACAATTAAAAACTTTTTCGAAACTGGATCCCACTCTTCCTTCGAGTAGAAAATTGAACGAAGACGTACGTTTCTATCGAATTAATAAAAGATTGAATATTTTTATGCACTTTTCACGATATATAATTGAGGTTTTAAGGGCATCGAAGATCAGCAAGAAAAATGTATGCTACTAAAGTAGTCATTTTTTAAAGATAGTAGTTCATAAATGCAGTTGAAAATACGTTCGTTTGAATAAAGGCATCCTGAGGTAACTGGAACGCATTTCGAAATTTCGGCCGACATTTCATGAGTTAGCACACTTACTGTAAATGATAGAAAAATACGGAGCGTAAGAGCAATGGGCAGTGCTAGATGTTCGGAATGAGAGTGCCCAGACAATGTTCACACATATTACTTTTAGAACCGCGTTGTTTAAGCACACGAGGTGCAGCGCTTTCGAGACCAGCAGTGTCCGAGTCTCTGTCACAGTGGACAATAGCGTGTTTTATATGCCTCGTTCGACAGCATGTGGCACTGTACTTCCGAAAGATAACTTGAAATTCTTGCTTATTGAAGAGTAGCACTAATAATAACTGCCCAACTGTTTTCGCTTTATGAGAACACTGACGAAATTTTGCTTATTAATTAGGGGCGAAAGTTAATCTGCACTGACAAACGGTTGTTGAATAGACAGGATGAACATGCACGCATTTAGAATTCGCTCCGCCTGAGAAAAGCATATCCTTGCTGTAGAGTGACAACTTTATTGGATATAGGAGTGAATTAGCGCCGTTCCAGCGACCTGCGTCCACCCCTCCAGTCTCCGGTGTCCTAGACTCTGTTTTGACAGCGGGTTCAAGTGAGGGAGGAGTAGAGGTTGTGGTAGACACGGCGAAAGTCCACTATCACCTTTAACTAATTCACGCACATATAACCGTCCGTGATCTTACCCTGCTGTGGAGCACACAGTAGACATCTTGGAACGTCGGCCGAAATGCCAGATGCAGCCTTTGCTGTTGGCGAATGCCTTAATTGTATAGCATTATAAAGAATGACTCCATATAAACTGTGCAAATGTTTAAGAGATGAACTGACCGGTAGAGCAAGAATATGTCTGTTATACGTTTTAAACCCCTCTCAATGGTAGCGGGCAGCTTTGACATTGTCCCTGACTGCTGTCTTGTTCAAAATGATTATATTACCAAGCATTTTACTTGTCTGATGACAATAATATAAATGTAAATGACTATCTCCGTCTTTTAAAATTCAAATCCTTTGAATCTCGTAATTCAAATCATATAACATTAAATTTAAACCTCTCTGCACCATTAACTTTACAATGTTCATCCCAAATAGTGCATGATAGAACGACATTTTTAGACTCTGTGAAAATGCATACTAGTAATTGCCAAAGGTCACTTTGCTCGGAGCTTCGAGTCGGGCTATGACCTGACTTTCCAGATTATTGTCCTTCGTATGCTAATGCCTTAGCGAGCATTCAAGTGATCCCCTCATCTGGTACGGTGATTTGTATAGGAGACTCTTATCCTTCTGGGGTTTATAACTTTAAGAATTAAGATGGATTTAACGTCCGTCAAGCATACAGTGCGTGACCGATGTCACGAAATGTTGGCCGAAATTCTGAAACGCGTTTTCGATTAAGAAGGATTGCTTAGGTGGGGTTGTAATATTGATTATCGCGCGACATAATCCTATAGTAATTCAGACTCGCCAGGCTGTCGGCTTTTTTCGATTTCCTGTCATACTCGGTAAGAAATAACTACTTGGGCAGCCTGCACTTTTTACACTGGGTACCGATGGTCTCAAAAATTCAAATATATTTTAGGACAGACATGCGCAGAAATTTGCTTTTTTACTCGTTTTCTAGAAAATCACGTTGTTTTTACATCTTTTTTCTACAGAAGAGTTATCTTTCGATCTTAAAAGGTTTCTAATTATGAAATTTCTAGGGCCGTGCGATGTGCATACATACAGCATCGCACTTGCCTGTTTACCAATATTCCTCACGAAATCTACAACACAGTCTGCATCCGTTGCAAAATGTTATCAACCCTGTTTTGTATCTTCTTAGAGGCGTATGCGCTTCCTTACGCGGGACGCATGCACCTTGTACAATGCTAATGCAACGACCATTCCGTGACAAAATTACTCGGGAACTGGGAAACATTTTCAAAATCGAACTAAACACTTTCTTCGAATATAAAATGTAAAGACAAGGTGATTACATACCAAACAAGGAAAAGAAAACTCATTTTTATGCACATTTTCCATAAAATGCATTTGAATTTATAAGACCAGCAAAACTGAATGTGAAAAGTGTTCGCTGCCCGAGTGGTCACTATGTTTGGAGTGCGAGTTCTGTAGGGGGTCGAAAAGACGTGCATTCAAAAGACGGCAGCCTGGCGAGTCCGAAACAATTTAGGATTATGCCGCATAGTTTTCTGAACTTCAGTCACCGTTTCATTTCATTTCACTGCACCACACAGCTGTCTTCGCGTTTTGTTTCGTAATTCATAACAGATGAATATTTAGTCAGAGTATTTGCCAGAATTTGAATATGATATGTGCAAGCAGAAGCAACTTGAATGTAAAAGGTTGGAATTCTAATACAAGTTTCTCTTTTAAAACGTAAATGAATACTGCCACGTACCTGCGACTCCTTTAGCAGATAAGCGAAATGTTATGCATGTGCGCCTCAGAATTTTTATACGCTTGTCTCCTTATTGTTTTTATACAAACAGTCAATAATTTGGCATGATATCGATTTTATCGTCGAACGCTTACGTAGTTGCAGAGACAGGAGTGCAAACTAAAAACACGGTTATCAAACCGAGAGAACTTATAGCTTCAAGCGTATAGGTAGGAGTAAATTCTGAACGTACAGGACCTCAGAACTGCTCATGCCCTGGCACAAGGACCTTAGTCCTCGCTTATGCAGGGCGTTACTTCTTCCAACCATGACTACTGCATCACCAACAAATTGCCTGACCTGGCAGCATGCGACTTATGCGATTAGCATCAGCGCAGAAATGTCAGGGGAAGAACCTAAATGAGGGTAGAGTTTACAGCCACGATTTTCAAAAATTGACCAGAGAAAAAATAAACTCGGAGATACGTCAGGCGCACGCATACCAGCCAGAGAAGGCCACATCAACATTGAGGCTGAACGGCCTTTTTACAATATATCTTAGTGTGACTCAACAAGTAGTGTGACTGTTTTCAAGTAGCCGGATTTGTCACCGATGTTATTGGTCATCCTTACGTCAAACTCGGATGGTAATTTAACAAATCACACGACGAATGTGTTAAGAGCAGTAAAGAAAGCAAATGCGCCGCTTTTTTGCACTTTCACTTATGGTGCAACCTATGTTCTCCCACTAAGGGGGTTCTAGCACGGATATGAGTGTTTGCTCTATTAAATCGGCTGAAAGATCATTGGGAGCAGGAATGACTATTAAATGAGCTGCAAATGATCGGAACGACTTAGAACAAAGAGGTATTGCAACAAAGTTGATTGAAATTAAGGCAATCCTTGCAGTTTAATATTGCCTGCTCTTATTGTACTTTCTAAGGCACTCCCACGCGTGTCGCACAAACCGCCCCTATTTCAGCCTTGTATTCAGAGCGGAGGATAGACCATGTGTGGCATGCGTAGACAGACCATCTAACTTAGTCAGCCACTGTGTTAACACTATCCCTTAGGCGTTCTGACATTGTCCTATGTCCGTGACGGCTGCTGTGGAAGTTAAATTTTGAGTTGAATGTCAACCGACAAGTTACTGTTATCACTGACCGGCCTCGAGCGACGAGGAAATTTGTGAAAGTAGAAACCTATAAAAGCATGAAATGCAGTCTGTAAATAAACAAAAGTAGTTAAAATAAAAGCAGAACTGTTAGTTAAGATATATACTTAGATCTTTTCCTGTGAAGCCCAGTTTACGTAGACTTATTTGGTTAACGGTTAAGATGGATGGATGGCCATAGGAGCATTCGCTGCGCTTAACATACAGTAGATGTGCTAACTCATGAAATGTCAACCGAAATTTCGAAATGCGTTCTCGTTTCGAAAAGATTAATTAAATAGTGTTGTAAAACTAATTATGATGCAGCATAAATCTATAATGATTCAGTTACCCCAGGGTGTCGGCTTTTGAAAGCACATATTTTCGGCTGCACGCAAGATCTATATTCTGCAAAAAATGACTACTTAATTAGCATGCAATTTTCTCATTGATTTCCGACGCCCTTGAAAATTCAATTATATTTCATGAAAAACAATGATAAAAATATTTATTCTTTTACTTATTCGGAAAATAAAATACATCTTCTTCCAAGTTCATACTCAAAAGAAGAGTATAATTTGGTTTTATAAAACTTGTATAATTTTCGAATAATTTTGAATCCGATCTGCTGTAACACTAGCATTCAGGGTTTCAAAACTACAAGCTGTATATTTTCCGTGTACGGGCAACCATCCATTTCTCTACGGTGTTAAGAGGAGACCATATAAGGGTTAATAAAACTAAGCAGTGGATTTGAGCAATATTGTTAACTTTACATGCCACATTCGTAAATGCAGATACATGACGTTTCATGAACGGCCATTTAACGTATCAAAAAATCGCACAATTACAAACTTTTTTAAAACCGAATTATACTCATCTTTTGAGTAGGAAGTTGAAAGAAGACGTGATTTTTTACCGAATATGTAAAATAATGAATATTTTTATGCATGTTTTTCATGAAAGATAATTGAATTTTCAAGGGCATCGAAAATCAATGAGAAAATTACATGCTATTTAAGTAGTCATTTTTGCAGAGTATAGATGTTGCATGTAGCCGAAAATAAGTTCTTTCGAAAGCCGACACCCTGAGGTAACTGGATCATTATAGATTTATGCTGCATCATGATAAGTGTTAGAACACTATTTAATTAATCTTTTCGAAACGAGAACGCGTTTGGAAATTTTGGTTGACATTTCATGAGTTGGCACATCTACTGTAAGGATTTTACTAAAAGCATCTTGTGGCATTTCATACGGACTGTAGTGTCTAATAAAGATATATATGTGCATATATCTCGGGTGAACGAAAAGTTATACGCAGATATAGAATTTCATAAGCCATATACATAATCTAGATCGCCCTAATTATAGATGGGAATGAACTATTTTTAGTCATATTTCCTCGACCACATCTGGCTACTGGCATTCACCGGACAGCAATTTCCTCTATAAGGTATGCTAGAAGTAAACCTCGCCCGTCATTTCTCGATTCTCTTGAGAATACCATTTGCGAATAACACATTTTAATGAATCGGATACCTAGTACCCCTAGAAGAAGCCATTAACATTGACTTTACCAGTTGCAGGAAGAAGCTTTTGAGCTTGTTACTCTCGGTGGATTTGGAGTAACCGGTAAAAATCGAAATCGCAAAAGACAAAGGCGATACATGGTGTGGTTATTTGCGATTTCAAAGCTAGCTCCACGGTTTTTAGGAGCAGGCATCGATGGGAATCCGACAGTTTGGTAAACAGCTGTTGATTGGAGCGGTCGCAAATAAAGACTTCCGGGCAGAAAAATAAGGGCAGGGGTCAAAATGAAGGCAATACTGCCCCATTAAACGTTTGCTTAGTTCCGTTGCTGTAAAGCACAAGGCAGACGTGGTTGACTGCGATTCAGAAGGATAGATATCGACATGAAGCAATGAAATGCAGTCGAATTTTAAGGGCGTCGAAGATAAATGAAAGAGATTTATGTTTCTTAAATAGTCATTTCTTACAGTGTTTAATTTCTACACGCGGCCGGGAAGAACGTCGTTCGAAAACTGGCATCTTGCGGTAACATTTAATTGTGCTAAACCATGGTTAATTTTAAAACCGTACATAAGCACTCTTTTTGAAACGAAAAGAGATCGCATAGTTTCGGTTAAACTTTCATGTATTTGCTCATCTA